CCCCCCCCCCCCCCCCCCCCCCCCTGCACGTCAAACTGTGTTGACTGCTGCACATAGGTGGGGGTGAAGGTATCGGGGTTCGCTCCGCGAATCGCTGCGCTGGAGTCGGTGCTCTACATGGTCATCGACCAGGTCAAGGACCTGCCCAAGCCCGTAGACGCGGAGGCTAGAAAGGAGGCGGCGGAGGTAAGTGCTGTTGAAAGTGTTTTGAATGTGCTTCTGAGAGGAGGCGGCGGAAGTATGCACTACTTATGTTTCTTTTTGAAGTAGCTCAGACACGTTTTTTTTGTGCCACACATCGAATGGAGGTAAATTATGTGCTATTTTTTCTTCCTTTCGTATTACTTCTGTTGATCGTAGTAGTTTAGACACGGTGTTTTTGTACCACACTGTGAGCGCGTGTTTGTCCCCCCCGCCAACCGCATGAGCACTTGTTTGAAAACGATGATCAACCTCGTCGCGATGACATGGACAATTTCGTCGAATCTACTGTACGCTGCTGTTGGGTTTGCGTATGCTTGGTCATGTTATGTTTTCTTCCCTCTCAGCTATGCGTGTCAGCGGTTTTGTCCACGACCTCTGCTCCAACTTGTTGGTGTCTACGTCACCCTGCCCCCCTCACGCGCGCACCCCCTCCGCTGGTCAACCTACTCCGCGTTCCCCTCCCCCTCCCGGACTAGGTAATGCGAACGTTTAGGCAACAGGCCCACAAGCTACAGACGGATCTGTCACGGCATTTCCCCTACGTTGTCCAGGTGGACCCGCTCGGGCTTGCCAAAGGTGAGGTGGAGACTGGCGAATACCTTAGACCAGCATGTCGGATATGGTAACATGATGCAAGACCACCATACGAGATATGGCAATATGATGAACGACCAAATATGAGATATGGCAGCATGATACAAGAACCAGCATAACCGATATGGTGACATCTGCGAGACCAGCATAACGGATATGTTAACATGATGCAAGACTTCCGTTCGGGAGTTTTGGTTGTTGTCTTGCCTGCCGCGGGCGACGCAAGAGGACTTGGCCACTGGCTGTCATCACCGCCTTATCGTTGTGTGTATCAACCTACGGTAGGTACATGTTGTAGTGCCACGGTTGGTTTCGGTATATTGTACAAGTACAAGCTGCAGAAAAATATTAGTATTCCGCATCGATGTGCGGTGGAACTTTTTTTTTCTATCTCGCAACGTGACTCTTCGCGTGCACCATTAGCGGCGGCTTTGCCGTAGATCCTACGGCGTAACACAGACTGCTGTGTTCTGGAACTACATTCGTTTCGGCGTGTAATCTTACGGTCATGGTCCGGAGGTTTCTGCGCGGTTTCTTTGCCATCAGTTCGGGTTAGTACTCTTCCTCGCAAATTACCCCGGCGGGTAGTCGGGAAAATAGAGCCGGTGTAATTGCCTTTTTGTCGAGGTTTTGTCCGCTGTGTAGCAGTAGTGAGCAGGCAAATGCGTAGGGTACCGCACCAAGCAGCCTGCGGCGTGCCTCTCACGAAGAAGCGCTGCAACAGATCCTCTGGCGGCACATGTGTTCGTCATGCGCATCATGCGCGCTGCTGCCTCTCGACTGTCTGTGGCTCTGGGTTGATGACACTTTTTTGTTCTGGTTTTCGACATTTGGTTCGGCAAGCTTTCTTTGCGCTTAAAATATCCCCGCGAAGTAGAGCCAGCGACGAGGGCAACTCTATTGCAAGTGCCACGAGTGCCTGGCGGTCCTTGGGCGTGTGCGGTGATGTGCCGACAAGCCCCCTGCGTTCCTCTCAGAGGAAGCGTGATTGCCTTGTTCTCAGAAGGAAGCGTGATGAAAGACTCGCTGCCGCGAGAGAAGTATGTCCCCAAGCACAGGATACATCGAAGTGGTTCATACACGTGTGCTCCGCATTGAAAATTTCGGGGCGCGGGGTTCGGGGATGTTTATTCGGGGTCCGTCTTGTGTGTCGGTGTCCTTCTCTGTCTCTCCCTCTCGGTGCTCTTACGTCCTGTGTGTCGGTGTGGACTCCTGTTTTGAGTAGGTCCGCTGCTGTATTGGCCAAACGCAGTAACCCTTTCCTTTCCCGCCCCCCGTCTTTTCCGATCCTCCCCCCCCGTCTGCTGATACCCCGCACCCTTGTGTGAATCAGAGCTGGGGCCTAAGTCTAACCTCGGCAGGCTGAACAGCGTGATGAAGAACATCGGCCGAAACGTGAAGCATTCTGCGGTAGTGGCGGTGGAGAGGATTGGCGCGGGCATCAACGGCAAGGTGTGTTGTGGTGCCCGGGGCGGGGCAACGTGTGTATGCCGTGCGCATTGTTGTCGTTGTCGTTGTCGTTGTCGTTGTGGTTCTTGCGGTTCTTGCGGTTCTTCTTGTGGTGGTCATCGTTGATGTTGCGGTCGTGTGCCGTGTTTGTTGTCATTTTGGATGGGTGGTGTTTTGTTGTGGTTGTCGTTGTTCTTTCTGCTGTACGTAGGTTTGTTGTTGCTGTTGGCATCTTCCCTTTGGATCGAACGGGGTTGACCTTAACGCACCCAGGCAAGTGTTATGCCCCGCCCCCCGGACCGGGGACATAGGCCTTCGAGAACGTCGACGAGACATGGGACGGTAGACGACGAAAACGACAAGTTCAAATGTGATTGCGGCTTCGAATGCGAACACCGTCCGTGTTCATGTAGTCGCGGAATGTCCGTGGTACGAAGCGGAGAGGGAAGTGTACATGACTGAGCTGGGAAAAATACAAGGGACGTACAGGGAGATGTTTGAGGCATGGAATAGAGAGGAGAGGACGGTAGCTGAACTGGGGAGTAGGGAGTGGTTTGAAAAGGCGGGAAGGGATATCGTTAGGACAGACAGACTAGGGAAGACATTTTTGAGCCACCTTTGGCAAAGTAGGAAGGAACGATTGGCCATCGGTGATCGGTGCTT